CCCTGGCCGGTGTGTCCCGCCGGGGGCGCCCAGGCCGCACCCTCCCTGCACGTTGTCTTTATGGTGCAGGGGGGCCTCGAACCCAGGCCTTCGTCTCTCCCCTCAAGGCTGGTGCTCTCCCACCTGGGCCACCGCTCCCCTCCCTCCAGCTTGGGGGCATTGGCGGGAGGTGAGTCTCCAGGGCCCGGGGCTGGCTTGGGAAGGGGATCCTAAAACCTCAGCCTCCTGAGGCCGGGGTGACCGGCGTGAGCCCCCAGAGCCAGGCTCCTTCCGCCCCACGACCCCCTCTTCACCTGCAAAGGCCCGGGGGTGTGCGGCCCAGCTGCTCATTATATACAAAGAAGTGGACGCCAGCCTGCGTGTGACCCTTACCCCCAGTGAACCGCTAGAAAACCCAGAAGCGGAGTCATGGCTCAGAGTGGTAGGGTACCACTAACCTTGAGCCAAAAAGCTCAGAGACAGCGCCCAGGCCCTGAGTTCAAACCCAAAGCTGACCCCCCCCCCAATAATAATAATAATGTAACATCTCACACCTGTAAGCCTATATGCTCTGGAGGCTGAGGTCTTAGGATCATGGTTTAAAGCCAGCTCCAACAGGAAAAGTCGGGGAGACTCTTTAGGATCTCCAATTAACTCGCAGAAAGCTAGAAGTGGAGCTGTGGCTCAAGTGGTAGAGCTAAGAGACAACACTCAGGCCCAGAGTTCAAGCCCAGTACCACCACCACCACCACACACACACACACACACACACACAGACAGTCAACAGGTGTCAAGCCAGGTGTGGCAGCCCTGCGTGACCAGGCTCGTCTCTGCTGTGCTAGTCTATTGCTGTCTATAAAATGGGTTTTTACGAGCCTTTGCTCATGGGGTGCGCAAAGGAAACAAGCAAGAAAAAGTCCATAAAGAGTGGTACACTCACTGTGCACTCTAGCAATGAGGAGCTTAAAGGACAAAGCAAATACCTGTCACTTTATCTCGGTTCATTGTTTTTAAATATATATATATATAAGAGCAGCTGGGAAGGTGGCTCAGTGGTAAGAGTGCTTGCCTAGCATGCCAGATGTCCTGGGATCGATTCCTCAGCACCACAGACACAGATCCATGAAGTAGCAATAAATGAATGGCAGCAATAAGTGGATCTAACACTGCTGCTTCGAGGATTCTCACCTATGGCCAGGCTCTGGAGTTTCACCCGCAAGGTCAGGGAGGGGTCACTGAATGCCAATCTGGAGCCATCACTTTTCTTTCCTTAAGTAGGTGTACAAAGAAATTCCCATTCTACAGACCCATCTATGAATACAAGGTGTCTGACAACACTGTCACCCAGCTCTCCTAACCCATCCCTTTAAAAAAAAAATCTCAATTACATAAATTTTGCATAATTTGCAGTATTCTTTCCGTTTTTTGTGCTGGTCCTGGGCCTGGAGCTCAGGGCCTGGGTGCTCTCAAGGAGCTCTTTTGTGAAAGGCTGGTGCTCTACCACATGAGCCACAGCTCCACGGATCTGGCTTTTTGCTGGCGAATGGGAGATAACCGTCTCAAGGCGTTTCCCGCCCAGGCTGGCTTTGAACCACAATCCTCGTGTGTCTCTTAAGTTACTGAGATTACAGGTATGAGCCACCGATGCCAAGGGTTTTTTTTTCCCCAGGTTTTCTGCCTAGCACCCCTATTTGGTGGTTTAGGGAGCCCCGTTACTGCTTTCTCCCTCCTTAACCTTTGTTCCCCCACCACCACATTCTCCCCAAACCAGACGGTGCCACTTTTTTTCTTTCCTTTTTTCTTAAAATTTTATTTAAAAAACCTCCGGTGCAATATTAAAAAGCCATACAGCCAGCTGGAGCGAAAGACTGACAGAAAGAGAGGCGAAGAGGGGACAGAGAAGACCCCAGCAGAACCCCCCGGGGCTGGAAAGCCAGGGGCACCGTGGGCTGGGGGAGAGGGGGCTGCGGGGGGGGGGGGTCCGATCTGATTAAATAAAGGGAATGAACTTACATCAGATGAGGCAGTGGCTGTCTGGGAGCAGATTAGGGGGGGAGAAAGACCACCCGCCAATGAACAGGCAGAAAAAAAACAAAACACGTATACAGGATACATCCGGCTGAACAGAGAGGATCTTGGGAGATAGGAAGTTCCCCCCCTGCCCTTTTTCTCCAAAAATGTCCCGGGTGTGTGTGGGGGGGCAGGCTGGCCTCCTGGGGGTGGGGAGATGAACGATCAGGCAGAGTCCACACTGTCCTCCACGGTGGAGCGGGTTTGTTTTAGGGGTGCAGGTGGTGTATGAGACAAAGAGAGGGCAATGCCCCCCCTCCCACCAGTCCAGCATCCTGGACTCTGGGGTTTGGGGGGGATGAGGGGGGAAGGGTCTGGAATGGGTTTGGGGGCGGGAGGGCGAGGCCGGGGCGCTCAGCCTAGAAAGCCGTCGGGGTCGTCGTCCTCGAAGTGGACCTGCTGCAGCGCCTTGATGTGGTGCTCGTAGATCTTGAGCGCGGGGCCCAGGCGGATGGACAGCCCGGTCAGCACGTCGGCGCGCTGCATGAGCAGCAGCGACTTGCCGTCGATTTCCTGGGTGAGGAGGGGGAGCAGGGTCAGGGCCGCGGGGCGGAGGCCGGGGCGGGGTGGGGCGGAGGCCGGGCCGGGGCTCACCTGCTCCTGGAAGGCGGAGGCCTGCTCGGGGAAGCCGGCCTCCGTGAAGTACTCCACCACGTCCATCACCGTCCACTCCACCGGGTCGGCCGGCTTCTCCTTGCGCCCCGGGCTGCGCAGAACGGGGTGTGTGTGTGTGTGTGTGAAATCCCAGTGAACACCCGGGCCCGGACGCTCTCCCCCAGGCCTCCCAGACACCCCGACTTACGGGCAGCTGAAGGGGGTCCCTTCCGCCCCAGGGAGGGCCGGTTTTCCGGGGGGCAAAGGCACAGGAGATGGAGAATCGGGGCCGGTGGCAACAGAGGCTGGGAAGGGAAAGGGAGGGCGGTGAGTAACAGTCGGGGTTCAGCGGGGATCCCCGCTTGGTACTGCCCCCCCCCCCCGGCGCGGGCCCTTACCAGTCCCCCCTTCCTTATTCATGGACGCCATGGAGAACACCTGGCGGGAGGCGCTGGCAGGTGCGGGGCCCCGCCCTTCATCCTGGCCCTGGTGGGAGCCGCAGGGCGGCCAGTCCTTGACCCTCTCCTTGGCGCAAGGCGGACCCCGCTCGCCGTTGAGCTGGTGGTGCGGGGCGCCGGCCGGGCGGTCGCTCTCGGAGACTTCGGAGCCCTCCGACACGTCATCGTCGTCGTCGTCGTCGTCATCGTCATCTTCGTCTTCCTCATCTTTCTCCAGCGCCCGCTCGTCTCCGCCTCTCTGGGGGGGGGCGGTGGGGGGAGAGGGGCGCGGGGCGCTCAGGGCCGGTCTCCCCCGGCGCCCCGCTCCGGAGCCCGCGGGGGGCACCAGGCGCCCCTCGCCGCCTCCGCGCCCGATCCCGACTAACTTTTCCGCTCGTGAGAGCCCCGGGCGGCCGGACGTCGCCAAAGTCACCCCGCGCCGCCCCAAGGGGTCGCTACTGTCGCGGGGCCGCGTCCCCCCCCCCTCCGACGAGGAAACTGAGGCTCGGCCGAGCGCCCGTCGCTCGCCAAGGTCACCAGG